CGACACCCACGTCCTCGCTACCTAAAACCTGGAGGGACTCAAAGCAAAAAATGTGAGTGGGCAAAAACAAAGTTTGTTTTGCAAACCATTTCAATATCAAGTAATAACCCCTCTTTGTAAAATCCGTATACTTTCCAGAAAATATTATACATACTCGTATATCAAATCATGCTAAAACGATAAAGCTCAAATATGCCATGCCAAAATATGTCGTGTCAGAATATCCAAACAAATAGTATAAGCATCAAGCAAGTGAGATAAAACAAATCAAAATATGCCAATAATATCAGTACGTCAGCCGGAGTCACCTAAAGTGACCTGTACGGTTGAAACTATAGCTCCTCAACCATTATCCTGCACACGAGTCGAAACCACCTAAAGTGGTCTGTACGACAGGCTAGTGTGTCTACTTACGCTCAGTGCTACGATCACGTGAAGGCTGTGCGATGTATCGCAAGCCACCTACGAGTCGGAACCACCTAAAGTGGTTTGTACGACAGGCTGGCACCTGCCTTGGATCCAAGGTGAGCTTATGGTACGGGAGGTGAACGATCACGTGAAGGCTAGGCCCTACTCTGGAGGAGCAAAATCACCGAGATGCAGGAATATAAGCTATAACTCAATCTTATCAACACCACATTTATCACTAACAACATACTCACCTGACTTACCTGAGCCTCCGCAACACTAAAGCATAACCAACATAATCCCAATAATAATATCGACGATATTCGACATGGCATTTCAATTATGAGACCCTTAAAACGTAATTTCTAGAAAGATACCAATCAATATAATATATACTGAAAACAAAAGCCCACTCACTGATACGTAGAAGGATCGTAAGCCCCGAGCCTCGCGTGGCTGCACTCGTCCTCCAGATAGTCCTCACCTATATGCGAAACAACTATATAAACGTCAAATTAACGCACATAACCAACCTTAGGTAATAACTTCTCATATATTGCTCAAATGGGGTGTTTGAATATACCAACAAGCTCTACACAACCTCATGAACATCCCCATATTTTTAAAATAATTTTCTGACCTCTCACGCGCCGCCATGCGCCGACCAAGGCACGGCCAGATGCGCCGACCACGCGTGGGCACGTGCCTAGCACGCATGTGGAAACTCTAACGTCGTTAAGGAATATTCCGTTAAAACCCTAACATAAGTTAACGACCATTACCTGATGTCGTTAAAATATTCCGTTAACTCTGACGGAATATTCGCCTCCTTCTCCAGTGAGCCTCGCCGATCGCCGCCGTCTGCAACTTGAAATTTCGTCGATTTCTGGAAAAACTTCAAACCTTAATATCTTCTTCATTTCTCAACCAAATTCCATGAAATTTGTACCAAAATGAAGCTTACAACGAGTAGAACAAAACCTTACCACTTTTTGGAACTTAAATCCAATGGAATCTCACCGGAGGAACCTCGATAATCCAGCCAAACCTGCAACTCGATGAACTTGAGCTTCCCGATGTCCAAAACACTTCAAAATTACTCCCCCAAGCTTTGTGAAGACGTCCTAAAGCTTCCTACAACCTCAAAACTCAATGAAACCTCCGTTATCACAAGTGCATGAACAGTGCACCAAAACTGGGTTCTAGGGTTTTCGGGTTTTCGAAGGTTTCACGTCCTAAAAATGGTATAGATGAGTTCCTGGGCCTGCAAGAATTTCAAAATTAACCTTCAAACCTTTGATCCATGCGTGGAACGTTATATTCGAAGTTTGTTCGTACGATAAGGAAGAAAATGGAAGAAAGTCCGAGAGAGAAGGGAGAGAGAAAGGTCCACAAGTGTGTGTGTATGGGTGTATGGTCCAGATGGCAGCCCACTAACCAAAACAAACCAAACAACACTTTACAACGCCAATTAACGTCCAAGGGCAAAATCATCTTTTCACACCTACGGTACAAATAATTTGGAAAGGCTATCACAACCTACCTACCTTAAAAAATTTCGCCCCCAAAATTACACAACAAAACAAACCACTAGTAATAAAAAAAACAAACAAGGATACAAATCTCTCATCCGATCCTCCGTCTCCCAAGTAGCCTCCTACACTAAGTGATTCCTCCACAAAATCTTCACCAAGCGCATTGTCTTGTTCCTCATAACCTTATATTTCCAGTCTAGAATAATCACCGACTCCTCATTGTACGTCAAATCAAGATTAATTTCCAATAGCTGTGGAGGTAGCCCATGCGATGGATCCGAGACATAGTGACGAAGTGTCCAAACGTGAAATACATCGTGCACTCGAGACAACTCTGAAGGTAACTCAAATCTATAAGCTACTTCGCTAATCCGCTCAGTGATCACGTACGGTCCAATATACCTAGGACTCAATTTCCCCTTTTTTCGGAATCGTACAACACCCTTCCACGGCGACAACTTCAAGAATACCTAATCACCTACTTTATAGGTCCGATCAGTGGCATGTCTGTCCCCTAAGCTCTTCTAACGGTTCTGGGCCGCTTTTAGGTTAGACTTGATTACTTGAATATTATGGGTTGTCTCATCCACTATCTCTGGGCCCTCCAAAACACTTTCGCCTACCTCTGACAAACACAACGGCGTACGACAGGATTTACCATACAATGCCTCGAAATGGGACATATCAAGGCTCGAATGGTAGCTGTTGTTGTAGGCAAATGCCATCAGATCCAGACGTTTATGCCATGCATCGCCAAATTGCAAAACAGAGGATCTCAGCATATCATTCAGTGTCTGAATGGTCCTCTCAGATTGCCCGTCTGTTTGAGGATGATATGTCATACTATACAGTAATCTCAAACCAGAGCTTCTTGAAATGCTGTCCAGAATTTAGAAGTAAATCTTGGATCTCGATCAGATATGATGCTGATTGGTACACCATGGTATTTAATAATCTTCGACACAAAGAGCTCAGCTAACCGTTTCAGGGAAAACTTCTCTTGAACTGGAATAAAATGCGCAAACTTGGTGAGTAGATCAACCACTACCCAAACACCATCATAACCATTTCATGTACGGGGAAGCTTATACACGAAATCTATGGTAATATTTTCCCATTTCCACTATGGAACGGGAAGTGGCTGTATCCGTCCAAACGGCTTCTTTCTCTCGGCTTTAACCTGCTGGCATACAATACATCTGTTAACATACTCAACAATCTTTCTTTTCATACCCGGCCAATAGTAAAATGGTCGTATGGTATGATACTCAACAATTCATGTATGTTGTCGATTATAGTTTGAAAACTTGCAGCAAAACGTGGGCATTCCTATTAGTTCATATTAAAATGGTCTTGAAAGTGTCACAAGTAGTCAAGCATTCCTATGAAAGAGTAATTTGCAGTATAGATCATCCAAATAATTAAGGGCCTGTTTTGTATCTTATTTGAAATTTTTTATCATTTCTCAAAATATTTATTAAGAACATTTCTTGAAAACATTTTCTTTAAGACTCAAAAAGTTGATTGGTTTGCGATTTAAAAATTTTAAATCTTACGACTTAAACTGGACAAAAAGATCTAAAAAGAGGGGGGCCGCAGGAGAGGGAGAAAGAGGAGAGAGAAGAAAAGAAAGTAAGAGATGATTGAAGGAAAGAGAAAGAAGAGAGAGAATCGGACGAGATAGAGAGGAAGAGGAAGTGAGTGAAAGAACCGAAAGAATGAAGAAAGCGGAGGAGAGACGAAAAAGGTAAAAAAAAAAATTAAAAAAAATTAAAAAAAAAACAAGAGAGAGAAAGAAGAAAAGAGAGAGAGATAGATTTGTGGCGCGTTTACATATGGGGAAAGGACATGGCGGAATGGGAGTCATTCCCCATTCATGATTATTCCTCTGTTTACCAATTTAACCGGAATGCACAGTGTTGCGGGACCCATGTAAAATCAGGATTTCAATTCCTGATATTGACGGAATTGGATTACTTACACAGAGGTAGTATTTGGATTCCGAGGAGAAGGCTTCATCAAGAATCAATTTTTTCTTCCCAAAGCACCCTTCACCTTCAGCACTCTCTTCCATCTTCTCGTTGTCCTCTGCCATCCTCTCCAACAGCTCTGTGCTCCTCCTCCACCGCCTCTCTGCGCCCCATGCATTGCCGTGTCGAACTCTTCGATTTGGGGCTCGGCTGCCGATTCTAATTCCAAAGATTGCAAATTCAGACTCTCGTTAGAATTTATAGGGGATAAGGATTGAAATTGGGCATCCTTAAAACACTTGAAAGATCAACTATTCAACAACATATTAGCTTAAATCATTACGTAGAGCCGCATAGGGAAGGTCAGGGCAGAGCATAATCAAATCAACCAAAAATAAAAATTTGCATAGAAGGCTGACCTTGAATCCTTGATGGTGAGGTAGGGAGGGAGAGCAAAGAATGGTCGGAGTCTCAGGGAGGGTAGTCGCGGTCAAGAGTGAGTGAGAGAGGGTGAGGAGGAGGCGTTTTGTTAGCAGATCAGAGAACGAAGAAGACTAATCAGATTGGATTTAAAAAGACTTAAAAAGCCTTTTCACATAAATTAAAAATAAAACAATTTTTTTATTAAAGATAAAAAAGATTAGCATATAATATAGATTATTTAGAATAGGGGTATTTTAGTAATGACATTAGTTTTCATTCTGATTCATGACAATTAGTAAACAACTTATATGGACTCAAATATCATTCCTACTCCGTTTCCAGACAGTTTTAGTAAACAACTTCAATAGAAATCTGATTCTGATTCCACCTCATTTCAATTCCTCCTCAATCTAATTCCTACTCAATTCAATTCCTCTCAATTTAATTACGAATTAGTAAATGTTCCCTGGAAGTGAGAGGGACGAGAAAGAGAAAAAAAAAAAGTGAGTTTTAAGTTTAAAAACTCTAAAAACTCACATTTTATGTTTTTAGAGAATAAACTATATTTTTTAGTTAGTCTTGAGTTCAGTTTTTTAAATAGTCCTATCAGACAAGTTTTAAGGTCCTAAAACTTGAAAATTGTTTTTTAGTATAAAAAATTAGATTCAAGAAAAGTACCAAACATACGCTGGACAATTACGTTAAGGCATTCCTGAATCTGACTGTATATGTCCTACGAGAGAGTAATTTACAGCATAGATCATCTATTGAAACCTATTTTAAGGCCCCTAGTTGCATGGATTCTCCATTCATTCCTCGTCAACAGAAAAATCAGGTTCCGCTGGCTTCTTCAATGAGCTAACGACTCCAGAACCTGACCCAGAATGCTTATTGGCACCCCGTCTGGTACTTGCAGCAAGCCTTGCTGCGTAAGTAACCAAGCCCAACACAGGCGGGGTTTTTGCAGGCTCAGTTTCTTTGTGGTTTTCTTTAGCCTTGAGTTCGGCTGCTTCCCTTCTTTTCTTGCATCGACGCCATGCTGCCTGTATGAAACAAGCAGACCATAATCTCCATTGGTGCGAATGGAACCGGAACTTGTGTCTAAGTTGCTTGCTGTGAAGTCTTCTGAACTGGGATGCTACGAATTTCAAGTCATCTGCTACTAGAGCAAATGCTTCTACTTCAGAGATGGACTTGACCGTGCGCGTTGAAGATGGCAGGATTACACTTGGACGAGGGTCCAAGGCCCATGTCAGAAGTTCCTCACCACAGAAGTCACCTGGACCAATACGGCATGAATTGAAGAATCCAGTTCGACCACCATTCGTGGTGTAAGAATCAAGGTTGCCCCGGATTATGAATAGCATTTCATTGACAGGGTCTCCTTCACGGACTAGAAATGTGCCTTCAGTACACAAGGCTGGTTTGAGCCTTTCACATATTGCATCTAGCATCCTTTCATCCATTTGATCAAACAAAGGAACCTGTTCACCAAATGAAAAAGAATACACAAAAATTTGTATAGTTACAATTAAAATTACGTGGTAGTATCAATAGAAATCAATTTGTGCTACCGGTTACCAAGATAATAATAACTTACCCGACGAACAAGGTCAAGGCAAAGGTGCCGCTTGATGTCTCTTCGAAGATCCATAGGTAGGCCTTTAAGAAGAATTTCCTCATCAACGCCTCGAGTAGCCAACCACTTGTATTGATCATACTTCCGTACAGACTGTCTTAGTTCCGTAGGCAGCTGCCTATGACGCATCCATTGTTCTGTATCAGTTCTCTTAATCCTCCACTCTTCTAGTCTGACAGTTGTGGATTGGAGGTATGTCTGCCATTGTAAAGAACGAGTGATCAGAACTAAGAAATATAAACTTCAGAAAAACTCCAAGAATATAATGGGTTGCATAGTAACAAGCCAATTTCAGAGGCAAGACTGTCTAAAAGCTCAGATTTAAGTCCAGACTGTCTAGAAGCTCAATTTAAGGTACATTTAAAAGCCTACTGAGACATCACTGACCAACGACTTACTTGCATATTACCAATCAGCAATGCGAACAGAACCAGCCCAACAGTCGCAATGATTATCGCAAACATTATCTCTCCAACGTAAGTACTTGTTGAAAGATTTTGTCCCAAAGAACTGCACAAGTTTCAAATAAAATAACTCAATCATCTACTTTAAATTAGGCAAGCCTAAGCTTTGACCGGCATTAAACATTGTTAGCCCCTTTGCAAAAACATCCAGTGAAGAAGATCTTAAAAAAGTTACAGATATAAGTTGCTCAAAATTCTACAAAGAACATAAGGTGGTAATGTTAAAAGTATTATTCACAAATGTGTTAATGCCCATCACAAACAGATATAGAAACAAACAGCTTACCTGAGGTTTCTTAGACCCCACCAGAGACAGTAAAAGTATCTGTTGAAGAATGACGAGGTTGTAACATCGTATGTCACTGCATCGCCATACATACCAAACTTATAATAACTGTTATCTGGATTACATAGATTTGTGACATTACTCGACTTGTACCAGTGCTTCCTGTTAGGGTCTTGAGCCTGACGGCAATCAAAGTAATCAGGTTTACACAATGTCTTCTCAAGATCACAAACACTTCTCCAACAAGATTCTTGCCGCTCAATTGAAAGAAGGTACCAACAAGCTCCCAAAACCTTTTCACAGAGAAAAATAAAAAAATCAGCAACACACAGTAGGTTAACATTTTCCTTAAATACTTGATTATTCAATGAAAAAGAAAGGTGCGAACGAGTATTCGTCAAATGTCTGTTAGACAGTCAGGAAGATGAGCTTGGCATTTTAATTCAATACGAGAATAGGAATTGAGAAATTTCAAATTTGGTCATTATATGCAATTACAGATAATCGTTTCAGGTTTCAACCAACCAAGCAAGTCTTAGACTGAAAAAAACTCAAATTCATAGATTAATAAGAGTCAAATAAATCCATTCATGAATTATGACAGCTGAAACTGAAAATAACTTGTCATTTCCATATGTTTCTGAAATACTTTTAACTGTAGACACATTTTTGCAAAAACCATGTATGTTTGTAATTATTCCTTCTTTTGTGTTTCTATATGATGGAGACAGATAAGGATCGGTGAAAATCCTTAGGCTTAGCCACTCAGTCTACACATTGACTATAGTATTATTTGTGATCAAGCTGTAGATGCACAACTAGCTATCTTATTCAAAGTTACTGAAAACAGAAACAACGTGTTTGTTTAGACTTACATGACTTGCCAACATGTATAGCATCAGATTATATGCAGCCCCTGCCCATGCTGTTTCTGTCACAACGCCAGTAGCCTTAACTATTTGTGATGAGAGCGGAAATATAAGAAAGAGCCTTGGTATGTATTGAAAGATTATGATGAACCGAAGGAAGTTTTTTGTGTTTGTCACTGTCGAACCCCTAAGGGTTGGGATTACAATCCAAATCAGCACCTGAGAGGAAGACGAAAATTTAGAACTGAATTTAGTGCATATTAGCTTTGTCTCAATGGTGAACAAGAAGTTTTCAAGTAACATACCTGAGGAAGGGGCAGGGCAGCAATGAGGTCTATCCAGAAATCCAGGCGTAGGTACCTCAATGCGATCTTTGAAGGTTCTATTACAAGCTCTCCTCTCCCAAATACACGAGAGGAAGGTGCAATATAAGCTTTACGAAAGTTAATAAAAATTTGAATTATGTAAAATACATCAGCCACTGATCGAACAATTGTTAGAACAACTTCAAGTGGGATTCCAATACTAATGCAGAATTCATCTCTCGTCGATGGCAAGTAAAAGAATAGAGGGTCCACGAACAGAGAAACTAAACAAGTTACTAAGAAAATCTTGTTCCAACGGTGAATAGTTTGTCCTCGAGGGATCTAATATTTTCTTCTGCACTCTCTCATAGTCCTCGGAAAAGACTCTGGACAGAACTTTAGCTTTTAAAGATTTTTCAGTCTTCCCAGGAACCTCCTTTTCGCAGAGTTCTGCTACTTGCTGCCCCATCAATCTTGTACTTAAGCTTAACCACACCAACTCCATTGACCGATGGTAGCTTTGCTAATTCAACATCATCTTGAAATCTGAAAATTTCAAATTTCATATGTGAATAAAAAGAATTTAAAAAAAAAATAGAAACCAGCTTATTATGCTAAGCTATATGATTAGACTACAAAACTCATAACAAAAACTGGAAACCCAATACGGTAACATAAACTAAGATGACCAAAATATTGGTTGAAAACGAAACAGAATTCGGAAGAAAGATGTACCTTATAGATTTTGAATTACCATAACCCATGGCAATCCTCTAGGAATACCACTTTGCCTTCAATTAACAGAATTGACTGCAGTAAAACAACACCAGATAATCGAACATATATTAGGCCATGAATCAACTGTATGTAAATATCTAGGATCTTCGAAATAAAAGCCGAAAATGACGCGGGCATGAGCTCAAAGCCACAAGAACAGGGAAGATGTTGCAGCCATGGGTACTCATTCACTAGGAATCATGTGAACATGTGAAATATATAAGGAAGATGTCAACTTGGAGATGAAGCTGTAAAGACTCTATACCCCCCAAAGCGCAAGGCAAATATGTGACTGCCTTAAGATTTTTGTGTATACACATTGATGGGAAAAAATGTTTATTTTATGATTAATAAAAAATAAAAATTAGTAGGCCTTCCAAAATTCCTGTATGTATATTGTGTTGAAGCAATTGAATGAGTCAAAAATGTAAAGCGCTCTGAACTTGCGAAACTAAATAGGAAATTAACCCAAAATAATTTGAAATAAATAATTACAGTTAAAACTCAACACGAAATCAATATTCAAATCAAGATTAATTAAATAAATGCAACAGGTTTAGCACTCTGGGAATCTGGCAAATTGGTTTTACTTAAAACCCATAAGTATCTTGGGGGAGAGAGAGAGAGAGAGAAACTTACAAGTTTTTCCGTCTGCCGTGGCCAAGCTTCAGCAAACTATTTTTGGAATTTTGAGAAAATGACTGAAGTATTAACCTATATAAGGAAAGTAATAATTATTTCATTTTCGTTAGTATATTCGGTTCAAAAATATAAAGAAATATTGTTAGTTGTTTATATCTTTTCCATAATTCCATTGTCAATGGATATAAGAAAGACAGAGAGACAGAGCCACAAGAGTGTGTCCAAATTTTCCAAAGACGAGAGAGATTAAGAGAAGGTTGAGAAAATACAGGAAGAAGCTTCAATTGCCTTGCTTATTCAGTTTTGTTTTTATTCTAATTGTTTTTTCAAAAGGGTTTCAGATCAGATGTTACTATATTTTACCTTTTTTTTTTTTTTTTTTTTTTTTAAGATCCGAGGAGGAGTTGCCTACGCTTGATATGCATGCAATTGGAATCTCGACACGTGTCTTTCCCATGTTTTGAAGCCTGCTTTTCAAGTTGTGATTGAGTAGAGTAATTTATAAGGAAAACTAACGAAAAGTTCAGAAAAATTTTAGTTTTAATGAAAAATAGTAAATAGTATCATGGAAAGGTAAAAATGTGGTTTTTCGTTAAAAATGAACAGTACTGGAAGTGTTACGTTAAAACTCTCTAATTTATATTTAGAGAATAGACCTTTTATTCAAAGGGATCTCTATTTTTGCGTAAAAATTGAGACTAGTTGGGCAATTTCACGTTGAGTTTCAACGATCCAAATCGTCTATTTTGTAAATCTTGATTCATTGATCATTTTTGCAAAAAATTAATTCAATCCGAAACTATTTGCCTATTTAATTATCACGTTGAAATTTCTTAAAGAACAAAGTGTTTGTCAATTTCTTTGAACTCAATTAGATGCCTCAAATATTTTTTATTTGGCTAATATTTTGTAAAGATGATTTATGAGGTGAAACTTAAAAAATAGACGGTTCATATCGTTAAAGTTTGATGTGATGTGGGCCCACCAACTAATCCCAATTTTTATAAAAATAAAATAAAATTAGGAATCTCCTCCCTTAAAAACTTCCTTTAAAGAATTCATATGTTATTAAGATGTGACTACAACATATATAATTGTATGATCTAAATTAACTTATAGTGTGACTTATTATTAGCACTCGAAAACTCTTATTGTGCACTTAAAATTTTCTCTATTTAGAAAAAAAAATACACCAATAAAAAATACAAAATAAAAATTTTAAAGTAACAATAACATTTCCCTGTCAAATTTTGTTGATGTATGCATTAAAAAACACACAATATTATCCAAGATTATATTAATACGAATTGCCAGCTTGTTTGACATAAAAGAGGAAAAAACCATCCACTTCTATATATTTGTCACATGACTCCGCGGAGCATTGCTTACGGCACCGAAATATAGAACATTTGCCTTGACACCCTTGCGCTGACCCATTTGTTGACTTCTTGACATTTGGCTTTCTAGAGAGAGCGACCACCAAAACTTGAAGAAGTTGGACTAAATCAATTCAAAGAGTCCGCCCTTGATTTTCCCTTTGTGATCCTCATCACAAAGTGATCAAAAGATATTGTATCTCGAGGTCAAGTAGTTAAAGAAAATAAGATTGACCCTATAGAAGGAGAAGTGCGTTTGGGTTTCGTTGGGGGCACAAGTACGTATATACTGTACTATGCATGAAACTCTCGTCCATTAATAGTATGGAATGAAAAAGAGTTGAATTCTATTAATTTTTTAATGTAAAGCCCAAAAATAACGAGTAAGTATTGAGGAAAACTGTCCCGATTACTTCTTGAGTGAATAATTAGCCACAATAATGTGCTTCATCATGTGAACTCAATTTTGAATCATTTTTTAATGTTTTGACCTATTGCATGTAACTAAGTAAGATATGTGTGCATGGAAGTTACGAACTTACGACGTCTAAATTTATAGACCATCACACGCTTAGTCATTTTTTGTTGGAACACAATGTCGATATATGCTCAATTTTTCAAAGTTGTATTATATTATGACCCAAATAAAAACAAAAACTTCCATCAAAAGCATGTCTCCATTTTCCAGGAAATACAAAACTTATCTCATCCATGCATGCAGGCCATACAACTTGATTTGAATTAGAATAAATTTTGTACTCGTCTTTTAGCTTCTTAAGTCACCAAAGTATAAATCGATCGATGCTATTTAGGTTTTGTACTCGTCTTTTAGCTTCTTAAGTCACCAAAGTATAAATCGATCGATGCTATTTAGATTAGGCTATCAGGCCAGCTTATAACTTGTCGACGTCATGCCAGTGGGACATATTCATAAATTCAAACAACTATGCAGGCTAATTTAAAAAATAAATAATAAATAATAAATAATAAATTGAAAATATTTGTTTAATGATGGATGATCATTTACTCTAGGCTAATCTGACAAGCCAGCGAGATCTCGACCCCTCCCACAGGCCGGCATGTAGTTTAAGGCCCTGCACCTTACCACCCAACATAGGAATTAAACATGCTTTTGTTTGGGATCAGTCCGGGTAACTATCTAATCTTTATGAGTGATTCTAAATTGGTCCAAATAACTACTTAAGATTTTGAAAAATGTATATCTTTTAGGTTCACTAGCATTCGTTGATGGCATGGACAAATATTAAACGTGTTTAACTCTTAAACCATCTATGAAAATTTGAATCCTTAAACTGACGTCATTTAGCTTAGCAAATTTATTGTTGAACTTGGATAAAATGGGTCAATTTGGGAGATTAGAACTCCAAAGACGTCGATTAGTGAAAACCAACATTAGTATTTGTCCACCTCATCATTCACTACAAGAAATCAAATAAATATTGACAGAAATATTTGCCTCTAAAACCCCCAATAGGGGCAAATATGTTGAAAAATTGCCCCTAATAAAAAGGAGGGGCAGATAGTAGATTCGCCCCTAAAAGAGCCATTGCTATTGTTATTAGAGGCAAAAAATGTCAAACATCCGCCCAAATGTCAGTTATTGGTTTTAAATCATTCAAAATATTCAGATCCAGCATGATTCATCTTCTTCTTCCTAGATCTCAAAATCTTCTCCTTTCTCTATCAATCTCTCAAGCTTTGCAGATTAGATTTTTAAGCTCATCTTCTTATTTTGCAGCAGTACACGAGTCTTTCTCAATTAACAACTTCATAAACAAATACAAAAAGAAAAAAATTGAAACGCAACAAAGAACAAAGCCAAATTACAAAGTTTACTAATTTGTACAAACAAATAGAAAAAGTCAATCCTAAATTTCACAAATCAATTAAATATATAAGAAAAATCAATAAACAAAGATTAACACAAGGTAATTACCTCTGAAAATTCTTTAGAACCTCCTTTTCCCTATCAATCAAATGATATTTTTATTCCAAACTATTCATGAAATTCTCTTCCACTCTAAATTATTCAAAACCCCCTCAAGTATACCTGCAAAACAAAAAATTTAGGATGGAAAAATCCCTTCAATCAAACCAAATGAAACGAGTTTTATCATCTCTCGAACAAAACTACTACAAAAGTGGCTTATTGTGTCGGTGGTTGTTGTCGGTTTTATATAAAATACTGGCGGATAAGACATTTCCAACACCCTTCTTACATGGTGTCAGAATTACTGTTGGGTATAAGCGACATAAACTGTCTATGTCACTTATAACCAACATAGACTGTTAATGTCGCTTATAACCGATATAGCTTTTAATCTTTTTAAATGGTGGTGTTGTATAAAAAGAAAATCGTGTCGCTTTCAACCGACATAAAGTTATTGTCACATGAAATACTTGATTTGTCGTTTTCATCCGACACTATTTGTTTTAAATATTTTCAAACTTCCTGTCAGTGGGCAAGTTAAGGTCAGTCTCATCTGACTGATAGTGTATCCAATATTTGGGTCCAAATTTCCTGCTAGTTTTGCACGCGAAACTGGGTAGGGTGATGTCAATGGAAGGTGGTGTTGGTTTTAACCAACATCGTCGAATTTTGAAACTTTGAACCCCTACTTAAAACTCATCTTTCTCTTCCCTTCACACCATTCTTCTTCGTGCCGCTAGTCCCTTCCCCTTCTCCTTATCCTTTCCTCAGCACTCTCTCTCAAGGTGATATCTTCAACACTCCCCATTCCATATGCTTTTAGCCCAGTTTTAGCCCTTTTTCATATGATTTTAGCAATGTGGTTGATGAAGATACATGTTGAAAATGAACAAAGGTTTCGTAGCTGACCTTGAATACCTTCAAAAGACTCCCCACTAAGTGACAAGGCTCCTATCAGTCTAATTTTCATCTTTTTTTCTTTTTTTTTTCCGTTTCCTTGACCTTTGTTTTTCTATTTATTGCTTAAGTTCTATGTGTTGTTTTCACTTATCAAATTTTTTCAGGTATCAACTAAGAACTACAAGCAGGATGTCCAGAATTTGAAGAGACAACTGAACGATCAATTAGTTTAATCGAGAGAGAACTGAACTACAAAAACAAGCAAAGCTAATTAGAGAAATCCCTCATAGGCTTTTTGAATGTACAGCAACTTGCAAAGGCTTTTATGTGGATGTGTTATCAAAGACTCAGGTATAGCTATTTTTCAAATCGGACTCTCTGAAGTTTATTTGGTGTTATCAATTTAGTTACAATATAGTTATCCGGACAGAGCTTTATATCTGATGAAAAATTTTTGGCGGCAATCAAGCATAAGTGAAATTGGCACAAGCTTGCAGCCAGCTTGCCTTGCGTCTGCAACCCTACCGTCGAGCACATCAAATCCAATTGATGAAAAATGGGCGATTCAGTTGATACAGTGGAAGAAAAATTTGACAAAAGGAAAAAAGAATAGAGAGAAAAAGTGATTGAAATGTGATGAGAATCAAAGAGAGAGAGGGAAAGTAAGGCTGATGTAGGAACCTTTTAGACATGGATTTTTAATCACTAAAGGTT